ATCTTGTTCAAATATAAGAGTAGCTTGCTATCAAAAGTTTTAGTGAACATGACGCAATGGAAGATCTTTCTAAAAAGGAAAAGGTCGATCTAATATTTAATTCAATAGTAGAGATCAGGATCTCAGTGAGACAGATTGACAACTCAGGGATGTACTTAGTTTAGTCTGATTATAAGAGATAAGAATGTGTCATTTTTCAAACATGAAAGTTTAAGTGTAATTGCATTGTTTGCTTCAATATGTGAGGTATAACCAATTTAGACAATTTTCTTTGTTGAATTCTTAGGGTGAGTATGAATTAAGACATTAATGAAGGACGAGTAATGTGATACAAATATATCACATACTTCATTTTATTTGTCTCTATTGGATTTTTCAGGGTAAAACTTATCTGTGATGCAGTAAGCAAAATAGATTAGGGCTTCAGTTTCACGCTTTAAGTGAATTTCATTTTTATCATTTTGTTTGTTATTGAGATCATTTTCAGAAGCATCAAAGGTTTAGTCCTCATCAAGGGGAATGTTATCATCATTATTAGAAGTTTTAGAACCTTTTCCTTTGTTTAAAGTTTTAGGAAGCGAAGTTTCAACTTCTATATCTGTAGAACTATTGAAGGTACTTTCAGAGATGTTTGAGTTTTCAGTTTGTTTTGGTGATTCAATATGTTGTTTTTTAGCTAGATGTTGTTGTTGTTAGTCATTCTCCATAGAAAAAGAGCGAGCTTGGTAAGATTTGAAGTTGTTATTACAAGCGGTTTTTTTTCAGTCATTTTTTATTTTGATGATCGATAAAAAGAGTTTTTTATCTAAATCCTTTATTGAAACCTTTAATTTTTGTGAATATGATAAACAATTGTATGTTTAACATATGGTCAAAATATTTTAACACAGGTGATATAATTATAAGATGATTAACATATTTATAAAATATGTTTGAACTATTTTTTATATATTTCAAAATTTAAGTTCAAATTTATACTAGATATTAACTTTAATGGAACAAATAATTATCGCACATATAAATTAAAATAATTAAGAAATATTTTTGCAATAATTTAAATATATTAATACAATATTATAAAAATATTAATATTTCTATGTATTATATTATAAATTGCAGTTAGAGTTCGTTATCCATTAGCAAATAATTTATTCATATAAAGTGTATAAAATGTATTATTCTTGTTATTAATTTAATAGTTTAAGAGTTCTCACATTGCCAATATACTTATTATACCAAGTTTAGTTGGGATTTTTAGATCAATTGTTTCATTGTCACACTCTTTAATAGCTTTTTGCATATCTTCCTTATTTTTTATAGTAACCAATGCTATTTTAACGGCTGATCATACAAAAATGCCAAGGTTAGTAACAATTACTGAATTTTTTCTTAGCTTCTGCTGATCTGTTGCTTTTAGATACATCTGAAGTACTTATTTTCATACATCATCAGTAATAAATTCATTTAATTTGTTATATAGTTTTCTTGCCCTATTTTTATTAATTAATTTAGTTTAATTTATTAAGAAAAAAAAATAAAATATTTTAATATATAAATTGTTAATACAAACTGATCATATGTTATTTTGAATTCCTTTGTGAGTTTTAAAATATTAATGTGAAATTTATATCGATAAGTGTTATACCACCCACCTACATCTTTAAGCAATAAACCTAATCTATAATCAGTTTTGGAAATCTTAAATACTCAGACTACTAGCTCCTCATACAATTCATTTGTATTATTTCTTATTCAGAGGAATAAGGTTTTGCATTCCTCCTGTAGTTGGCTCTTAGTATGCTTAAAATTAAGAAATATTAATAAATATAGTTTTATATAATAACTCATACTGTATATATTACTTGATTGATTTCTTGAGGTATCAATATACTAGATTTGAGAGAAAATTGGTGTGATAAAGATGTTAAAGCTATCTCATAATTTCATCAGTACTGGTTGCTATTCCTTTTTGAATATTTATTGCTAAATTCAAAACTCATTTATGACAAGCTATCCAGTAAGCAATTTCAAACTCATTAGACATGTTTTGAAACTGTTTTGGATATTTTGGTTGTAAATTTAAATTAGTTTCAATATCTTTATTTATTTGATTTTTCTATAGATCTATGTTAGTTTCTTCATAATCTATTTGATTTTGCTGTGAATCTAAGTCAGTTTCTTCATGATCTGTTTGATTTTACTATGAATCTAAGTCACTTTTAGTTTCTTCGTAATCTATTTGATTTTGCTATAGATCTAAATCACTTTCAATATCTTTATAATCTTGAATTGTAATATCTTTTTCATTATCAGATGAAACATATGGTGTTGGGTTCTATTGATATTATGTAAGATCTTGCTGAAATATTTGTTTTTAATTTGTTTTCTGGATTGCTGATGGAGTTAGACTTGCTAGAATTGATCTTAAAGCTTTACTATTTGACTTTTGATTTGCTTTTCAGATTGTTAATTAAGTTAGATTTACTAATATAGAACTTGAAGCTTTATCATTTGCCATTTGATTTAGTTTTCATGTTAATCAAGTTGAACGAGCTGAAGTTAATCTTAAAATTTTATATTTAGTTTTTGATTTGATTTTTGTGTTGTTAAATGAGTTAAACGAGCTAAATCAAATGTTAATAGATTTATATAACTGAATATATTTATTTGTATTTAAATATTCTAACTCTTTAGGCAATAATAATTCTATAATATAAAATCTGTTCAAGCAAATAAATAGAAAGATTTTAACAAATTTTTTTATTTAGCTTATCAAATTTTCATTTAAGCATATTAAATACACTAAAACTTATTAAAATTCGTAAAGTTTATTAAAATTAGCAATATAAAAAGGTTTTTTTAAGTGAATTTTTTTTTAAAAAAAGAATTTTTTTAGAATTTACTTATTTATTTAATTAATTAGTATAGTAAATAATAAAATCTTTTATTATCATATTAATCCTAATTTGGAAATATTAAATAGCAAAGAAATTATTAAATTGATATATTTAATTTTTTTTATTTTTTAAAGTATGATTAAACTGAAATATTTAATTGTTTTAAAATAAATTATTTATAATTAAACTAACTATATTTATATAAAACTGCTAATTTTAAATTTTAGATTAGAACATTCTAGGTCAAAATTTTTTTTTTGTTTTGTAATTTCTATAGATTATTATCTAATACTAGTAAAATTATTTTTTAAAAAAAAAAAAATAATTCTAGTAAAATTAGAATAATGATAAGTACGCACAAAACTATTATTAATTACATATTCTTTACTATAATTATTTATATAAAAATCAGTTTTTATTTAAAACAGATACAGCCGGATGTCTAAACTGGTTTTGATATTATTAAAAATTTATGCTTAATTTAAATTTGAGTAATGATCATTTTTAAACAAATTACAATATAAAATTTAATAAATACTTATAATGCTAAAATGCAAATTATTTTTTTATAATATATTTATTAATTAATTGTTTTATTATGTAAAAATTCCATAAGTTATTTTTGTAAATTTGATAATTAAAAAATATAAAACCAGTTGTAAAAATCAGTTTCAATTGGATTTGTAAAAATCAATTTGAAAAATGTCAAACTAGTTATAATCTTATACTAATTAATCTATAACTAATTAGAAAAAGATTCTATAGTGTACTTCTTAAAATTAAACTTAATCTAAGCAAAGAATATTATTTTTCAAAATTAATAAACAAAATAAAAAACAAATACAAAATTTTATTTTATGTTGAAAAAATTTTTTATGCCTAAAATAGTTCTATAAAAGAAAAAATAACTAATTATTTAATTAATTACCATATTTATCTAAAATGAAAATGTAAAAAAATTAAAGATCTTTTCATTTTTACGAAAATAATAGTTGCAGATTAACTGCAAGGGTATCAGTAATAAACTCTTTTAGCTAATCAGTAATAATAATTGTAAAAGACTATAAAATTCTTAAAAAAGGTATTTCAATTGATTGAAAAGAATTTGTTTTGCTGGTTCATCATATTTGCCATTTGAATCTGAAGGGAAAATGATGTCTATTATTTCAGTAATATAGAAAAATTCTTTATCAATATATTTTTGAAATAGTTAAACATTTCTTCTATAAGATATCATATTTTATGTAGTGTACTAAAATAAAAAATTCTGTTCTCTATAATGAGAAGAGAATCTAAAACAGATATTTTAGTTAGTGATAGAAGTTCATATTTTAACTTATCATTGATATCTGAGAGAGAATCATCATTATTAATTAATTTATTAATTTTAATTTTATGATTCTTTAGATTAAGCCATTCTTTAATTTGAGTACATGATTTTCTAAAATAGTGAAGGTTTGAGTAAATTAAGCAAGTTTTTTGATTAAGTGAAAGGATAAATAATTTTTGATTATTGAGAGTGATATTATATTTTTTAAAATGATCAAAATTATTATGTGATTCTAAATACACAAACGTGTATTTCATTTTTGATTTCTTAAATTTAATAATAGAAATATGCCAATATTTTACATTAAAAATCTGAAGTATAACTTTGATATTGCAATCAGTTAGATCAATTAGAAGGTTAGTAACTTTTGTAATAAAAGAATAGCATTTAATTAGTTCTTTATTAGAAATAATACAAGGTATTATTTATATGTGATTATTAATAAAGAGAAAACTCTACATAGAGTTTAAGACAAAGAGCTATTCTTATTTATCAGACAAGTAAACAAGTATGCTATAATATAAAGATTTTTGTTTAATTACTATTTGTTGAATATTGCTATATCTCAATGCTATTATTTTAATTATATTCTCTGAAGTTCTTAGTAAAATATTAGTAAAATAATAGGTCCTTTATATTGTTTATAATAAGATGACTAAATTAAGTATATATAATATAAAGTTATATTGTTGTAGACCTTCTAATTTAGCATCATTTAACAAGAAGCTATGTTATTATAAATCTCCTGATTTATTATTGTTTGATAAGAAGCTTTATTATCATAAATTACTTTTTTAGGTAAATTCCAATTAGGCTAGTAATCTGTTATATGAGTAGATTGAAATAGGATTTTATTTACTAAGATTTTCTTTTTAAGTATATTCCAAAAAGAAAAGTATGAATAGAAAAGTAGATAAAATTGAAAGAAAAGAGAAAGCAGAGGTAGTATTTATTGTAATAATATTATTTTTTTTTTTACTTTTGCTTTTATTTATTCTTTGAAATTTGAGAAAAAGACTAGATTTTTGTTTAATTTTAGTATTAAAGAGAAATAACTTTAGTATAGGTGAAGAAGAAGAAAACTGTTCTTTTAAAATAAAGTTATATTGTATAGATTCTATTTTATTTTGAATATTTATTTGTCTAGTCAAATTATATACAGACTATTTAAAATTCATTTTTTCATCATAAGTATTTGTGAGAGGAGTAGGATAGAGCAATATCAGAAAACTCTTAAAAACTAATAGTAGTACTATTGTAATCATTAGTTATTAAGAAAAAACTTTTAGATTGTTTGTGTAAATTTTTTTCAATAACTTTTTCATATTTCAATTCTTAATTAATTGTTTTCTTTTTACACTTTTTTTGTTATTTTTACTTATAGTGAAAATGAAAAATCTGAGAAAAAAGTTTATCTGTCTAATTTTTACTAAAATTTTTTTAAAGTGCGGTAGTTTTACAATATCTTAATTATGATAAATATAAGTTAAAAATTAAAAAAATAAATTTAAATAAATTACAAAATCAAGAAAAAATTACAAAAATTTTGTTAAAACTAATCTAGAATTGATAAAAAGAAGATTGACTCTACACTTTCTAAAATCAAACTTAACCTAAGCTAAAACTATCATTTTTTAGCAAATTAAATTCATAAAGGTGTGACTATTACTACACTAAAAATTTGACTAACGGGATCCTAATTACTTCATAAAAACAATAGGATTACTGCTATTTGAAAAAAAAAAGATTAGATGTAAGAGTATATTCTGAAGAAAGGAAGTTTAATTAAAAATCAATATTAGAAAACTTTTTAAAATCATAAATGATTAAGTAACAATCTTTTCAAATGATATGGGTTACTTTAAAAATAAAGTGTATGAAAGAAAATAGGCAGCAGAGGTTAAAGAGTGAAACAGTAGTTTACTGTGAATAAAGTTATATAGAGAAATGAAAATAATTTTTTGATAAAGTTAAAAAAAAAAGAGGAGTTGTAGGTATATAGCATCTAATAGTTAAGCTATTCAATTTTACAATCTTGTAATTTTTAGATGATCTTTTGATTAATTGATAATGGATTTCATTTGATTATTGATGACTGAATACATATAAATGTGATAAAATCTTTATTAACTGCATCATATCAAATACAGAAGTGAAGAAGAGTAAAATATCAGATATCTGCTTTTAAGGACCTCAAGTAAGCATCATTTTTAAGAGTTGTTGATATTTTATTTTCTTAAAAAATGAGGTAGTGTAAGTAGTAATTTGATATATAATATTATTTCAAAAAGCAAATAATATTATAAACCAATTTATATTATCACTGAGTTCATTTTCGTTTATCTTAATGTCTAAATTGAAAGGCTGCGGCAGCTGATTCTATATGTTAGAGTTTCTGATCTTAGGATTTTCTCTAAATCCTACAGGTATCTGTTATACTTGAATCAACTCAACAATTTATCACGTCTTAGAATTTAAGATATATTTAATCAAACTCGTAATGACGAACTCAATAGCAAGTTAGTGTAGAGTATCACAACAATCCTAGATAAGGGACAACGTTAAAGGAAAAAGTAGTTTGTATAGATTTAAATTGATTTCTTTATTTATAACTTGAAACTCGCAGAAGAGTTTTATAAACTTACAACTGAGTTAATTTACAACTTAAGCAAAAGCTATTCTATTTATACAAAATAAATTTGCTATGATTAACTACTTGCTATGTTATAAATTAACTAAATATAGATATATGTCTCAATAAAAGTATACGTAAATATAATAAAATAATAAAAATAATATAAATTATAAAAATAATAAAAAAAAATAAAATAAATTAAAGATGTTAAAGAAATTACAGACAAAATAGAGTAAACAGAATAAATAGACTGTTCAGAAAATACAGAAGAAACAAGCGAATCAGGTGAATTTTGTAAATCCTTCAAATTAAATGATTTTCCAATGCAATACGTCGATCAAGATCTTCCTTAATAT